GGGAAAGAACAAGTTAGAGACTACTTATATAAATCAGCTGTTTTCAGAGACTCTGGACCTGAGGAAATTCAACCTAAAGTACTTAGCATACATCTAGGATTTATTTTTGGTAACTCAGGGAGGATGGGGGCAGGGTTCTAGATGACTGAAAAAGGGCAGACATAATGGGTATCTTGAAAAAGGAGGACCCAAGGAATTGAAGCAAAGGGTAATAAATTGTTCTCTGTGTCCGTTGGTGATGGGACAAAAAGAAGCAATTGACTTAAAATGCAGCAAGGGTAATTTAGGTTAGACCTCAGGGAAAACGTTTTAACTGTAAGGATGATGAAGCACTGGAGATGGTGGAATATCCATCACTGGGGGTTTTTATGTACAGGTTAGAGAAACATCTGTTGAGGTACACTTCATTCTTGAGGTAAAGGGGATTAATTAAATGACCTCTTGATGTCCTTTTCTATCCCTATTTTCTGTAATTCTATGTTAAGTTGAATCCTTGTAACCATTCTTTCCTGCACCTTTTGTAGAGGACTCCTTCAGTGTGTATGTATACACTCTCTCTCTTTCTCTCTCCCCACTCCCTCTCATTTTGTAGTTTTTCAATTCCGATGTATTTTATTCAGCAGCCGCCAATGTACACATTTAAAACTGTTTAGCAGCACCAGCAAACTCTTCATATCTCTAAGAGGCTTTATCATCTATAATTTACCTGCAACTATTCCAGGGGGGGTTTTGCTGAATTTTTAAAATGAGTACAGGAAGCAAAAAGGCATCAGTGTACCTGATAACACTCAAAATGTAAGAGAAGCTCATCATTATGGATTCAAAGAAAAATATAATCACAAACAGTTACAATAGAACTATTGTACCTCAGTCTGATGCCTCCTCAACCTGCTGATAAGAGACAGGGAGTGGTATTTTTTTTCAGAATCCTGTCATAGGAAAACTGCTTTTTTAACTATCTGTATCAGCTAAGAGGCTTTTATCACTTGCTTTCTCCATTAGCAATGCATGTGACTTCTTCTGGCAGACATCTGCAGTAAAACTGCTTCACCTCTTCAGAGAGAGATGTAATAAAAACTGTTCCTGTGTACTGCCATCTATGAGTATGTCTCTAAGCAATTTGCAGACCATAACAAAAAAGTCATCTACAAACTGAATTAGATAAGACAGAAATCAAATGCATCTTAATCTTGCTCTTAAAATCAGAAGTTGTAAGTGTCTGTTGTACCAAGTATAGGGAACAGACTTTCTAGTGCTACAAACATAGTCTGAAGCCTATATCTGGGAGTCTCTAGGAGACCTGTACTAGTGGATCTTGAGTCCCAAATGGGTGTGTAGAGAGGTTATTGAGATATACTGCATTAGACTAACTGCAAATATGAAATGTCACCACATTTGACGCATATGTCAGAAGGAACAAATTAAAGATGATAGCCCAGATCTTTCAAATTCTTATGGTACCATAATATGTAATAATCCTAATGGCAGCATTTTGCCTAAAATGATGCCTGTAGGGAATTTCATTCATTAATCTATGAATCCCTGAATTACAGGAACCCAGCACTAGATTTAAGTCTCTATTTCAATCCAAAAAGCCTAGTTTGAAGAGACTAAAACTGATGTATTTCATTCAAAATGACCATTCAAATTTGTTTCAACCAATCAGTATTTTTTAACATTTGCCTAATTTGTATTCTAGAGACTGTTGAAAACAGCTGTGTCTAATGATGAATTGGAACACAAGCAAGTCAATAAAAAGCAATTTTTTTTAAGCAGAGTGTCTACTGTTCATACCTCATGAACATAAATTGAAGTGTGAAGATAAATTTATCTGACAGCATCAAATGGCAGGGAAAATCTCAGTTTCCCTGTCTTTCCATTGTTTACTGCAAGTTCAAGACAGCTGATACTCCAGGCATGTAAGTGACATCAAGTGAAATTTTGCACTATGTGCATTTTACTTAGATTTACTAGAGGTTCCATCCACGTAGGGCCACAATGAGACTTAGTAATACTGAACATTCCCAGACCTGTAGGAGAGGTGTCCACCTCTAGGAGTCAAACTCACAAACCCAAGTTAGATACCTACATTTGCCATACTATAAATAGGGAGAATTTGGCACCTAAGATCAGGATTCACAGCATTCAACACAGTAAGCCAGCCAGTAGGGGATGATGAAGAAAGGAGCACATCAGAAATCCCATTTCTCCCCCAGACTTCAGGAATTTGTCCTGAGTTCAGTATCTGTGTGAGACTGGAATTCATAGCATGAAAAATTAGTCAAAGTCACCAATGCTGTAGACCAGATCCAGGTCACAGAGCTCCTTTGTAGGTCAGATACCACTTGGGGAAGAAGGTAGCAGGAGAGGGACCAGTGGAGAAGGCAGTGGCTGCAATGAGGATGGCAGTGGAAGGCAAGTAGTGGTGGGACCAGAAGGTGCAGGACAAGTGAGGCTGTGTTGACCCTCATTCACCCTTCTGCCACCAATGGCCATGTTCACTGGGGCCTAGGATCTGGATTCTGCAGCAGGTCATGGTCCCCCTACCACCACCACCACCGTTTCCAGTAGCCTGGAGGGTTGGATGAAGCACCTCCACAGACTGGATCCAGCCCGCAGGTTGTATGTTTCACACCCCTGCTTTAGCCTGAGGCAGCAAAGTTATCTTTTCATGGATG